ATACTTTGTTGAAGGGAGGAGTTATAGTTTAAATTGTATTTTATTTGTGATACTGAAGATTGTCATCTTTTTTAGGAGAGTGTAAGTCTTAGCAAAACTAAACCACCGAGAAAGTATCTTCATTTTTTCCCTTTTATTTTTATAAACATTTTTCTACATGTTTTCTTTTTTTATTTTAGTTTTTTAAAAAGACTTATTTATTTATTTTAGAGAGAGTGAGCTTGAGTTGGGGAGAGGGGCAGAGAGAGAGGGAGAGAGAAGAGAGAGATTCTTGAGCAGGCTCTACGCCCAGCGCAGAGCCCAACATGGGGCTCAGTCGCATGACCCCAAGATCATGGCCTGAGCCGAAACCAAGAGTTGGACACTTAACCAACGGAGCCACCAGGCACCATTGTTTTAATTTTTATTTACTTTTTAAGTAATCTCTACACGTAATTTGGGGCTTGAACTCACAACCCTGAGATCAAGAGTCACATGCTTCACCGACTGAGCCAGCCAGGTGCTCTTGTTTTCTTTTCTTTCTTTTTTTTTTTTTACATTTTCACATAAAAATGAATGATCATTCTGTCGGTAAACATTTAGTAAACAATTACTGCATAAGGACTAAAGGAAAAACAATACTAAGACACCATCCATTTAGAACTTGAAATCTGATAGCAGAGATATTTATCTAAATAATTCTATCAGAGTTAAAAGAGAGGTACAAAGAGCTGTGGGGATGCAAAGAATGGGAAGAGTATTTTTAAGTTGGAGACTTCACGGAAGGTTTCCTGGAGAAAGTAGCATTTGGATATAGTGGGATTTCCCACTGTGGGAAAAACAGAGGGATTGTGACATGTGGCAATGAGGGATGGGAAGAATATAGAGTAGCCTTGGCATGAACAAAGATAAGCAGACTAGAAAATGCAGAGCATGCTTAACCTGGGCAAATAGTATGGTATGCCTAACCACAGGGTATGCCAAGAATGGGAGTGGGGTCTGCAATCACTAGTGGAAAATAAGACTGAGAAAGTAAGTTAGGACTCTGTCAGGGAGGGCCTTGAAAGCCATGGTAAGACATTTCATTCATTTATATATATATAATATATGAAGGTCAGAGTTTCTCCTGCTTTTCTGTTATGCCCTTAATAGAAAGAGGACAGCAAAAACATAGATTTCTGTGGGGGAAGAGGGAGGGATGAATAGCTGGAGCACCAGGGACGTTTAGGGTGGTGAAGCTATTCTGTACGATTTTGTAATGGTGGATACATGACATTATTCATTTGTCAGTACCATAGAATGTACAACACAAAGAATGAACTGAAATGCAAATTATGGATAATAATTTTGTATTAATATTGGTTCATCAATTTTGTAACAAGCATAGCATGCTAATGCAAGTGTTAATAGGGGAAATGCAAGTTAATAATAGGGGAAATTATGTGTGTTTCAGGGGTCAGGGAGAGGAAGGAGGGGAAAAGGGTATATGGGAACTCTGTACTTCCTGCTCAACTTTTAAGTAAACCTAAAACTGCTTTTAAAAATAAAGTCTAGAGGCGCCTGGGTGGCTCAGTTGGTTAAGCGACTGCCTTCAGCTCAGGTCATGATCCTGGAGTCCCCGGATCGAGTCCCGCATCGGGTTCCCTGCTCAGCAGAGAGTCTGCTTCTCCCTCTGACCCTCCTCCCTCTCATGCTCTCTATCATTCTCTTTCTCTCTCAATAAATAAATAAAAATCTTAAAAAAAATAAAAATAAAGTCTAGGGGGCACCTGGGTGGCTCAGTTGGTTAAGCATCTGACTCTTGATCTTGGCTCCGGTCTTGATCTCACTGTTGTGAGTTCAAGTTCCACGTTGGGCTCCATGCTGGTTGTGGAGCCTGCTTAAAAAAGTAAAATATTAAGTCTAGGGACGCCTGGCTGGCTCAGTCAGTAGAGCGTGTGACTCTTGATCTTGGGGTTATAAGTTTGAGCCCCACATTGGGTGTAGAGATTACTTTAAAAAAATAAAATCTTTAAAAATAAACAAATGAAAATAAAACCTATTTTTTAATAACCACATTTTTTTTTAAGGATTTTATTTATTTGACAGAGAGAGACACAGCGAGAGAGGGAACACAAGCAGGGGGAGTGGGAGAGGGAGAAGCAGGCTTCCCGCCGAGCAGGGAGCCCGATGCGGGGCTCGATCCCAGGACCCTGGGATCATGACCTGAGCCGAAGGCAGACGCTTAACGACTGAGCCACCCAGGCGCCCAATAACCACATTCTTTTAGATATGAAATATACCACAGGTAACAATTTTTTAGGGAGTTCCATATTATATCTTTAAAATCACATGATTTTTATATTCTCTTTGTTACACACAAATGGCTTTTTTTTAAGATTGATTGATTGATTTAACAGAGAGAGAGAGAGAGAGCACAAGTAAGCAGAGCGGCAGGCAGAGGGAGAGGGAGAAGCAGGCTCTCTGCCGAGCAGGGAGCCCGACGTGGGGCTCGATCCCAGGACCCTGGGATCATGACCTGAGCCGAAGGCAGCCGCTTAACTGACTGAGCCACCCAGGCACCCCACAAATGGCTATTTTAGCATTAAAATTTTCCCCAAAATTTGCAGTAACGTAAATGACCCCTCAGTGTGTGATTCCTGTGTTACGTTGGTTGACAGGGAATCACTGAAGTCGTATATTAAAAGTGAAACAAAACAAAATTAAACCAGCAAAATGATGAGCAACCAGTTTTTCTTGCCACACATATATTTTTTGCATCCTTATTTTCATTTCCCAGTATTCATATGGAGGTTTATCCACTACCTTTAACTTAGGCAAGCTTTATTTTATTTGCAGATGAACTTTGCAACAGGCATAATGAGAAATAGTTGATAAACCCACTTTTGTGGATATTGCAGTCAAGACAAAAGGGGTATATTTTGATATGCAGGTAATTTATACCAAGCAAAGTAGGTAGAGAAATGTAAACTAAGCATGCTGAGGAGATGGGCAGAGTAAGTGGAGGGACCTAGGTGAGTTAGGTTTAGAGGAATTACGAAGCAAAGGGCATAGTCTGATGGGTGCCCCGTCATTAAGAGCACAGATGTTTTTCTGGGTGTCATTGAGACCCAGCATGACCTTTAAGCTATCACCAATACACATTCCTCTTCTTGTGTGTCGTGTTTATACTGTGACTCAGATAACTTAAAGTTGTTTGGGTACTTATTTGTGTAGATATTCAGACATGTGAACCCAAACGGTGCCTTTTTGAGTCCCTTTGGAACCCCTGAAGTACATTCATAGGACAGTCTCCTTATTTGTGTTTTCAAGGCACTTTGTTTTCCTTATGAAGACCACAACTGGAATTTTTAACCTCATGCCTTTGAGAGTAAATTCCTTAGTTCTCTGCTTGCTGGGAAAAAACAAGAGACCCACTGACAGATACCCCTAGGAGAGTAGCCCTTTCTCCATAAAACTGTTTCTTCAGTGAGAGAATAAGGAGAATATATACAGAGTGGATAAGGTCCTGGGTCAATCTTGAGTTTGAATCCTCTATTTACCAGCTGTTGGACACTAGATAAGTGACTTTACCTCTCTGGTCCTGGCTTATCTATAAAGTGGGGAGAAGATCTTGGGTTACCTGGGATAAGAATGTGTCTGGTGTGTGGGAGGTACTTCAGTAAATACTATTTTGCTTCCCCCCTTCCTGCCTGTTCTGCTAAACTTTCAGAGCCACCTCATCATTCATTCGGTATTTCATATGAGCACCTACTATGAGCCAAGCCCATTGCTAGGTGATAGGGAAATGACTAGAAATAAGACACATCAGCCTATGATTTCAGGAGCCTCTAGCGGTTTATGAGCAATTCATTTCTTTGTCTCCAATATCAGCAGTCCCGAATTCACACAGCCCTTCACTAGTGTTTTTGACCCAAGAGTTACCATTTAAAATACTCAGTGACTGCTTTTTTGGTACCACTTTGAAGAGTGAACTGGTTTCAGGAGAACCAAGGACCCATAAGGCACCGCGTGGGTTCACATGTCTGAATATCTACATCAATAAGTACCCACATAGGTTCCTAGTGCGTAAAGGTCTGAAGTCCACACCCTCTGGTGGCTCACACGTCCACATTAGATAGTCAAACTAAAATCCCTCCGGGTTTTATTTCACTTACTGTGACCACAAATCATATTCTGAGAAATACACGTGGCTTGTACCATCCTAAGTAGGCAGTGCATGAAACTAGTTATATTGTGGCCTTAAAATCCATACAAGTGTTTTTACCTTTGTCTTTTATATGTTGTCTTGTTTCCATTTTTGTTTTGTTGTGGTTTTGGTTTGAGGGTGGTTTAAAATTAATGCTGTGTTAGATTGTCATTTCGACATTCTCTTGTTCATGATCAGATATGTTTCCGTGATCTCTAATCTGTCCATTCTCAATATGGAGAACACATTCTCCTTTTTAAAAAGGGAAACTGCATGCACAGAAAAGATAAATATTTGAGGAGGTTTTCATAGAGGGATCTTCCCTTCTTAAAAAGATTCATTTTTGTATTACTTATTCTTATAATGCAGTTGAAGAATATTTTCTGTCACACAAAACCATTATAAACACAAATGGGGGAGCGTAATTTTTATCCTAAAGAGAAAAATAATTTAGCATCTCTAATTCCAAGGAAGTAAAATTGTCCCAGAACTTTATGCTCTTTAAAAATCATTAACAGACCTGATTTGATGATCTTCTTTAGGAGATCATGAGAGCAGGGCTGTTTACAAGACATTCCCTTGGGTACACGGACCACATCGATACTATTATAGGGTTCTCTGCTGTGATATCCAGGTAAGGGGTGGCTTCCTTCCTTAAGTAAAACAACCTGGACAGCACTCAGAAGGTGGTTGTGTTTTCCTCTCTCATTGTGATAATCTAGATGAGAGCACAGTACCAAAGACCTTTTCAGTTCCCTTCCTGTGAATCTTTAGAAGATTGCTCTGCTTTCCAGAACTAACTCCACAGCTTTTCTTTTTTTTTCCATTTCAGGAATTACCATGGTTGACACCGAGATGCCATTTTGGCCCACCAACTTTGGAATCAGCTCCGTGGATCTCTCTGTAATGGATGATCACTCCCATTCTTTTGACATCAAGCCCTTCACCACTGTGGATTTCTCCAGCATTTCCACTCCACACTATGAAGACATTCCATTCGTGAGAGCGGACCCAATGGTTGCCGATTATAAGTATGACCTGAAGCTCCAAGAGTACCAAAGTATGATATTTTCACTTTTCAGACTGCTAAGACTAGAATTGGACTAACCTCTCAATAACACTGGAATAAATGCTCCAGAGACTAAAATTCTATAAAAAAGATACTTACCATTCATTTACTCATCTATTTACCTATGAAACATTATGTATTTATGATATACCAAAAAGGATGGTAGTGTGTAAATATCCCAGATCATTCTTTCCTTTTTTTCCCTCCTTTCTTCCCTCTTCCTTTCCCTATTTCTTGTTTCTTTCCTTCTTAGGAGCATTTTCCAGCATGGCTGCATTGCCAGGTTTATCTCAGGCTAAGTAAGAGTCTGTCACCCAAACTCTTAAATTCTTTTGGCCGCTTCTAAGTTAATAAGCAATAGTTTGCTACCTTATATAACTTCTCATCACCAAATTGCAAAGTTGTGGTCCATTTCTCCTAGTTCTGCAATTTGAGCAACTTATACTGAAACCTATTTTTCTGCACAAATTTCAATTTTGCCATTGTAGTCTATTGATAAATCTTCCTGCCATTAAGTAAATTCACATCAAAAACATCATACTCCAACATCTACAAACCAAAACGGCACTTTTCAAGATAAAATAAATTTCTATGATGCTATTTCCTTGATTTTTATCTTTGTGTGCTGATATGCTGGTTTTCCAAAGCCACCACCATGTAATTGGCAACCATTACTTGACAATAAGTAAGAACTTCCTGTATTTCTAGTTTTTTTTTTTTTGAGATAAATAGTATACTTGGTTATTTTTGTGTGGTTTTCAGTTAGAGCCTAATATGGAAATTTAATAGGCCTGATCCTAACCAGCAGAAGGGTAGTACTTACTCTCCATGGGTTCTCTCACTCTCTATCAAAGATTCTTTTACAAACCACCTTTTCTGACTCAACACTGGTGAAAACCTGGTCTCTTGTTTTTCATGTACCTTCAAGCTGGGCATGGCATTACCTTTTCACAGCAGTGTTCCTTCTGTTTCTTTTCCAAGAGTGGTTTAAAAATACTTCTAAAATGCGATATTTAAATACAGATATATAATTTAATATTGTGATGAATGTCAAATACAGCACATTATGTAACAAAATAACCTTAGTTGTCTCAGATACTATGTGGTGTCTATCAGGGCTTTAGTGTTGAAGGGTTGCAGAACCACAGACTTAATTCCCTTCCCCCTTTCATTTTTACAGGTGAGGTTCAGAGGTGTTGTGACTTGCTTGTGGTTACAAAGCCTACTTTTTCCTGTGTTTTTTTTTTCATGTTCCGTAATGCTTCTACACTAAAATAATAAACATATGGCAGTAAGGTGTACTATGGGGACTGGCCATAGAGCCTTTGTAGCAGTTTTTTATGTGATAATTACCTGCTCACATTTTTCTGTACACAGGTGCAATCAAAGTGGAGCCTGCATCCCCGCCTTATTATTCTGAAAAGACTCAGCTGTACAGTAAGCCTCATGAAGAGCCTTCCAACTCCCTCATGGCAATTGAATGCCGAGTCTGTGGAGATAAAGCTTCTGGGTTCCACTATGGAGTTCATGCTTGTGAAGGATGCAAGGTAAAAAAAAAAAAAAAGAGAGAGAGAGAGTTTTTTTCAAAAAAATTTGCTGAAAACTTGCCTGTTCTTTCATTTCTTGTTGTGAACACATAGCAAGGAATTGAGATAAAATTTTTGTTGTTGTTGTTTTGGTAAAACCCATTCTTCAAATGATTTATTTGAAAACCTAAGAAAATTGGTAAAAGCAGAGCTGCTTTGCCTCACTTCCCTTTCTCCAAATTGGTCCTTGAGCCACGGATCTAGTTCATTGCTTGCATCTTGCAGGTAAAAAAAAAAAAAAAAAGTGACTTATTCAATGTGTCATGGCAAAGACATGAACTGGCCCAGAATCCATATTTTTTTAATCCTCCAGTTTTGTTTTTGTTTTTGTTTTCTCACTATTCCATGTGTTACTTTGTTTTTATAAGGCTTGACAGATTAGATAAATAGATACTTCATTTGATGCCTAGAACAGCCCTGTGAGGTTGAGCTTCTTGATGGCCACTTGACAGATGTAGAAATTATGAATTAGTGAAACTCGCCATGGTCTTCCATTAGTAAGTGGCAGAACTAGGACCGGAACATACATCTTATGATTCCTAAGCCAGTGCTCTGTGTATTCTTATTTCAGCATCAGTTTGAGACATGTATTATGGACAGGCAGAGGGATATAACTATTCTGGAAGGGAGATACTATTTGTCCTCCATTCTTTGTGAAAAGTGTATTTTTGAAAGCTCAAACATTTAGTAATATTCTGCCCAATTATTAAGAAATTTTTAATCCATTCATATTTTAATAGGTAGTCTTTTAAAATAATTAATTTTAACATACTCAGTGAATCAATAGTATTTATTATATACTCCAGGACTCAGAATAAATTGTTCATAAATATTTACCTTATAAAATAAACACTGCCTATATAAGATCAGATTCGATCCTCAGTTGAGCTTTTTATTCAGAATAAAGATATACAACACCAGTTAGGTAGGTGTTGGAACATCTAGGGTCTGAAATTAATATTTATTGATTTCTACTATGTACCAGATATTGTGCAAGATGCTTTAGCATATATCATTTTTAAACTATATTCTGCCTAAGTTTTTGCATCTATAAAATGATGGGGTTGAATTTGATAATCTCTAGAATCTCTTCAAATAGTGTATTACTAAAGGCAACTTAATAAAGTGAAAAGAGACAAGCTAGTAGTCACCTAGCCACTTGCCCAGAGTTACTAGCCAATCACATAAACACTTTAGCCCTCCATCACCTCATGCATAAAATGACTTGGTTGGATTAGCAGCTGTCCAAGGTCTAATTCATTTTCAAGGTCTAAAATTCCAAAATGAGTTTTTGAAATACCATTGGCAAGAGACACTTTCATTTAAAACACTAAAACCTATTCACTGTGTGATTAAAACCAAACTAAAATATCTGTGATCTCTGAAATCATTATGTATAGCCAGTTATTTAAGATTCCAATGAGTTGTGAGAACATGCTGTTTTATTGTGTTAGATTTACATAATTTTTGAGTAAATTGTTGCTAAATTCTGAGAAATACCTGAACAAACCATTCCGTTTGGTCATCTTGGTAATCTATGTTGATAAGCAAAACAGTGTGATTGCTAAGTTTCCACAGTGCATTATTGTTTTTTATGGCTGGTGAAACACTTAGAAAACTAGAACATTTAAGCAAATAGTTCTGCCATGATTCTGTTAGTCAGATATTTGTGGGGAGTTAACATTACTGATAACAGCTAAAACTTGAAAAGACAATAGCTGATTATAGTAATAAAAGCTAAGTTCTGAGGGCACAAAAACTTAGCAAATAAAAGCGAGCAAAGAAGAAAAATAGCAAGAAGGAGAAGAAGAAGGACATAGTCCAAATGCCATCAAGTTAGAAACAGAAAGGGTGCTGAGGCAGAGATGGAGAGTGAACATTTAATCAGATCTCAAGAATACCCTGGATTACAGACTTCCAGGACTAAAATGCAAGGAAGGTTGCACTGACCTTAGAAGGGGAAATAGACATCTACTCATTTTAAAGATAAGAATAAGAAAAATGTTAGTGGAATAATATAATTTGGCTTCTCCAAGTATAAGTCAGCAGTTCTCAAAATGTGGTCTAGAAGCCTCTAGGGGTCCCTAAGACCTTTCCAAGGCATCCATGATGTTGAAACTATTTTTATAATAATATTCAGTTGTCATTTACCATTTTCACTCTTTCTGTCAGAAGTGTCCGTGGAGTGTTCCAGAAACTACATGACATGGATGGTAACATAGTCTGGTGGCTCATGGAATGTTTGCTTGTTAGGTCCTTGTACATAACAATCTCTCAGTTTTAATTTCTAATCTGATAAGTGTCAGTAGATACAGCCCACATAAACCAAAACTCATGGGGTTCTCAATAATTTTTAAGAGAGTAAAAGAGTCCTGAGACCGGAAAGTTTGAGAACTGCTGTTATAAGAGATTGAGGGATTGCTACTTTGGAACTAAACAAAATTGTCACCACAGTCTGAATGCAGCTAATTTAGACCAGTGGCTACCAACAATCAAAGATATCTTCTTAGCTTATTGACAGTACTCAATAAAAAGCCAGGAAAGTGAAATTAACAAGTGTTTGACTCATATGTATTTTCTAAAGGGTGCCTTGGCTGTTTAACATCTGCCATTTTGGTAGGATGTAGGATATGCCCATAATTAAAATACAGTTAACCATCAACCTGCATACTAAATGATGGATTGAAAAGAATAGTTACAGTATTGCTTATGATAGCTGTTAGTTAGTAGGTCTTCTGGAACAGTTTTACAGTGCACATGGAACAGGTTTATATTAGTGATTCTTGCCAAAAATCAAACAGGAATAAAAAGAGTAGGCTTGGATTAAAGTGGAATAGCGACAGATTCTTGGGTCATTAATATTGCAGACTTAGGTAAAATATAACCTTTGGCTCCTGAATAATACATCCACCTTAGAGCTTGCAAAGCTGTCACTTACTGCTTACAAATTGGACACTTAATCATTTTCTAGAAGGTTTCATCTTATTTTTGTATCTTTAGTGAAAGATCATTTTAGAACCATAGACTTACCTAAAGATATAAGTACAATCTACTATATAATACAGTGTAATCTGTTTTTGTAGTTCTTTGAAGGGCCCTAAGTCAGGAAGGGTTTTTAGTATATTCATACCTGCCATGGGAGCTCATGAATTGAGCTTCTCTGGGCCATACCACTTCATAAGAAAGCCAAACACAGGACCAGCACAAGACTTTTAATCTCACCATAAAATTAACTAGGGTCTCATTGCACCTAAGTTAAAAGTTTTGTTAAAAGTAAAGCAATTAAGGAGAAGTTGGAGAAAAATTTTTATAAGGCAAAAGCAAAAAAGCAGCCATCACCTTCTCACAAATATGACGACTTTGGAATAAATCTATAGCAAAAAAAAAAAATTTTTTTTCTGCCGTGGTGATTCATGCATTTCCATCACACCAGTTCACAGACTTTGTGGTCATCAAAAGACTAAATTGTTGAAATTGCACATAGTTTTATGGACTCCAAAATAATAAGTAAGAGTGTTGTTAAAGAGTGTTTTCTTGATCAGCAACATGAAGAAACCTCAGGGAAGCCTGCTTCATTCTTCAAATCAATAAATAACTGTACAGAAAAGCACTCTAAGAGCCTTATATCTTCCTCACTAGGTTTCTTGAAATAAAGTATAAGAATACAGTTGGCTATCATGAACTAGGTGTTTTGAAAAAGAAAAGTAAAAGCAACTTCAAAGCTGTGTGCTGAAGTGTGTATATATTCAGTTTGTGATTTTATGTACATATGCAGTACATAAATAATATCCAGAATTATTTTCCTTTAACATTGAAAGACCCTGAGTCATCATAAAAAATAATATGAAACACTTTGAAAGATGTCGTATGAGTCAAAACAAAACTGCATTGTAAGGGTTAAACTTAAATAACATAATTCTCTCATCAAAAACCCTTCCTCTCCAGCTATGCCAAATAACTGACTACTCTGGGACCTGCCCCATTCTCAGCTAGCCAAGCAGCATTTTCCACCATGGAGATCAGTTTTTAGAAGTGAAAATTTTAAAAAACAGTCAAAGAACATCATAAAACATATATGATCACAGTGGCAAAAATCAAAACAAAATTTCCCACCAGCATTTATCAGTGAGAATAGTTCTGTACATGAGCCTTCTATTAGTAAGTGAAAAAAAATACCTTTTTAATATCCAGAGGTCCTCAGAACACTTTGAGAATTAAGGAGGCTTCAAGTTCCAGCAGATCCTCTATAGGACCTAATCTATGAGATATTGCTGATCTCACAAGGGTAGGGAAAACTTCTCCCAAACAACCAACAATAGCAACACAAACAAACAAACAAAAACTCTAGGTCTTGACCTGTGGGCTGCAGACACACTTACTGAGGCAGGGTTTCTCTCGTGGTAGATGCCCAAAGGAGTCCTGAGGTGCGGCACTGCCCCAGAGAGAGATACCTAGAACAGTATCCAGAGCCATCAATGAGGGGGAGCTGAGTCTAGGGCTTTTAAATTCAGTCAGCTTTCTCAAGGGAATTTGAAATAGTCACAAGTCACTGGCACCTCTGGCTTCCTAGAGTAGCATCTGCAAATTCTTTTTGGAGGAAAGAATTTCCAATTTAGATCCGATAGGATTCCCACAGTTTAAGGTCAATATATGAGTTTAAAATAAAATATCAGTCAGTAAGCACATTAAGAAGTCAATCAACTTGAATGACATTTATCAAAAATAAGCAAAAACAGATTTAGACCCCTCCACCTCTATACAAGGAGAGCAGATAATTGGGATTGCCTGATAGAGAATATAAAACAGCTGTGTATGAACTGTTTCAAGAAAGAGGGCAGAATCACAGCAATGAACCAGCAACAATAGACTACTAGGAATGACCAGGCATATTTGAAAATAAATCAATTTATTTAGTGAAGTGAAACTTAAACAGTGAAAAATATAATTATTGAAATAAAAATTCAGTGAAAATAGCTGTTGGACCTAGCAGAAGAAAGGACTACTGAACTGGAAGGTACATGTAAAGAAATTACTAAAATGGAGAATCACAGTGCCTTAAGAATACGTCCTGTCCAGAATCTGCTAGAATTTGAAGCCTCTTAGTTCTTGAAGGATTCATAGGATCTTTGAGTATTAGAAAAGTATGTCTTCTTCATGAATCAATAGAAGAGTAATGTACAGAACTATTCTCACTGATGAAATTTGGTGAGAAATATTTCCCTTTTTTTCCTCACTGTAATTATGTAGCTTTTGTGATCTTATTTGACTGTTGTTTTAATGTTTACTTTTGCAATCAATGTTAGTGAGTAATTGATGACAAAAAGATGGAAAATGTAAAGAAGTTCAAAAATATTGAAGGCTAGAATAAGGTCTAACACTTCTCTAATTCATGTCAGAACTTGACAAGTGAAACCATGATGCAGAAAACACGTCCAAGAGAATAAATCAAAAGAAGTCCATTCTGAGACGAGCTGCAGTAAAACTGCAGAACACTGAAAACTAAGAGAGTGTATAAAAGCAACCAAAGAGAAAAGAAAAAAAAAAAAAAACACTTCAAAGTCAATTGACAGTAGACCTCTCCACAGCAACAGTGGAAGCACAAAGATCATGGGATCTGAAGTGAGATAGAAGATAACGGAGTTCTCTGTAATCTTTCAAAAGTGAGAGAGAAATGAAACTGTTTACAGGCTCAAAAAAACCGAGAGACTGAAATAGTAAATTTCAAGGATAGTTAAACCATAGAGAGCAGAAGATATTTGCAGCACCTGGAACAGACAACAGATTAGTGTCAAGAATATATAAAGAAATTTCTAATATTCAGTTTTAAGGAAGATACAATTGGACAATAGGAAATGAAAAATCAGGAAAATACAAATTAAGATCACACTTAGATTCTATTTTACACATACTGCATTATCAAGAATTAAGAAGTCTGACAAATACCAATTGTTAGAGGGAATGTAAATTGATAAAATCACTCTGGAAAACAGTTTGGCATGACCTTGTAAAATTTCACATTCACTTATTGTACAATCCAAAAAACTCCACTCCTAGGAAACTCTTGTACATGTGCATCATAAAACATTTACAAGAATATTTATCGAAGCACTGTTCGTAATAGCAAAATATTGGCAATAACTTAAACATCCATCAACATGAGAAGATATCAATAAATTGTGGAATAGATATACAGTAGAATATTATGAAATTGTGAAAATGAAGAGATCCTAGCTTTTCACAAGAAAGTAGATAAATTTTAGAAACCTAATACTAAATTTAAAAAAAAATGAAAATCCCAAAATACTATATGAAGTATCATACCATTTATTTTTTTTTTAAGATTTTATTTATTTATTTGACAGAGACACAGCAAGAGAGGGAACACAAGCAGGGGGAGTGGGAGAGGGAGAAGCAGGCCTCCTGCCAAGCAGGGAGCCCAATGTGGGGCTCGATGCGGGGCTCAATCCCAGGACCCTGGGATCAAGACCTGAGCTGAAGACAGACGCTTAGCGACTGAGCCACCCAGGCTCCCCATATCATACCATTTAATAAAGCCCCCAAACAAGCATAACTGATCAGTGTATTATTCAGTTTTTACCAATGGTGTGATAAAACTGTATTTTCTTAAAAGTCAAGAAAACAATAAACACAAAATTGAGAATAATGATTACTTTGTCAAGGGGACACAGAAGGCAGGATTTGGATAGAGGAAGAATTTCCAGTCATGATTTTAAATCTTGGCAATGGGCTCGTGTGTGATAATTATCTTATGTTTTATAATTACATGTATTTTTACATGTTTGTAATTAATATTACATTTAATAAGATAACAGAAAAGGAAGAGAGTATGCCAATGGCCTTGTGGTATCTCAGTCATGGTTTAGGGTAGAAAAATATCAGAGATGGCCCAGAAAGGAAGTTAAGTGACGTACATCTTCATTCAACAGATTTTACTAGAAGACTACTGTTGGTATTTGGGTCATATCCAGTGGTTCCCCATAGAGCTCACAATTTTAATTGGGCAGTGGGGGGAGGGCAGAAAACAAGCACTTAAATATAATAAGTAAATTATATGGTATGTTAGAAAGTCCTAAGTGCTATTGGGAAAAAAAAAAAAAAAGAAAAACTAGAGTAGAGTGAAGGAGACCAGGAGGTCTAGTTGAGAGGTGGGGGCAAGGACAGGCCACAGTATTAAATAAGGGTGTATAAGCCTCACTGAGAAGTTGAGATGTTGGCAAGACTTGAAGGCAGTGAGGAGAATAAGTAGGTGTATATTTAGAGGAAGAGCTTTCCACGTGAGAGAAAGAAGTCAGGAGTGACTTCAAGGAGATTGGCTTGAAAAAAAAGTTTGGCTTGAGAGACTCAGAGGGTGGTTGTACCACCTGAGATGGTGAAAGCTGCCAGTGAAATGAGTTTGCAGGGGTACGATCCAGAGTTTCAATGTTGGACATGCTGGGTTTGCGGTAGCTGTTAGATTTCCAAGTGACGTGTCAAGTAAGCAGTAGAAATACTTGTCTAGAATTCAAGATACAAATGTGGAGAAAGTGAAAATGCATGTCAGTGGCAAAACCAATACTAGTTCAGGGATTTTGGTACCAAACAGGGCCAGATAACATTTGAAAGAGTTAAGAATTGAGTTTCATGGAGATGAGCACAGTGGAAATGAATAAGAACACTTTGACAACAACAACAAAATGGAGTTAGCAAATATTTCCAATTAAAATTTCTTTCAGGTCTTTCAATAAAGTATAAATACAGCAGAATTCAATTAGCCTCAAATGGACCTATTTGCTATTTTGAGATGGCAGTCCATTGTCTGAGGATTTATATATTACTTCTGTTCTTTCCTATTATCTTTTTTGTTGTTGTTGTAGGTTACAACAGTTATGGAGCACTCTTTCAACTGCATAAGTAAATGAAACCAATTCTGTAGGAAATTATGCAACATAGAGAATTCTAAAAAATTACCCACATGTGGATTTTTATTGGCCCTGATCATGTTTTAGGATGAAGTGATTATAACTTTGCCAAATGGCTTAGCACAATAATAAAGGCTGGGGCATGCTGTTGGAATGATCTGCAGAGAGACTGAACTGATTACATGGTGTTTTATTTGCATTACATTAAATCCAGAGCACTTCTTAGAGCATGCTGAGATCCAAGTGTAGAGCCAAGATACATTGAATGACATCAGTTGGATATGGTCACTGTTTCAGAGCTAAAGAAGGACACTGGAGATCTTCTGGTTCTGTATGTTATAGCAAAGAAAACTGGCAGTTAAGTGACTTGTCTGAAGTCACCAGTGACAAAGCCTACCTTTTCTGTTACCTAGGCCAGTGTGTCTTTAGACAAATGTTGCTGCTTCCATGTGTCATAAAGACCTAAGCTTTGCTTCTTTTTTCCATATCCTTTTGCAGGGTTTCTTCCGGAGGACAATCAGATTGAAGCTCATTTATGATAGGTGTGACCTTAACTGTCGGATCCACAAAAAAAGTAGAAATAAATGTCAGTACTGTCGGTTTCAGAAATGCCTTGCTGTGGGAATGTCTCACAATGGTAAGTGAACGCTTAGCATACATACTTCACTGTTCTCATTATGGCTGCCAGATCAGTGGCCTCTAGGGCCACTGCTGAAAATGTGCACAGTTTCCCACAAAATGCCAGATTTCAGAATAGTATATGCTGATAAAGCATTTCTCATTTTGGTCAGAGTCTAGGCTTTTAGTGTAGAATCCTTCTCTCTGTGGTTGGGGATCTGCCATGATGGGAGAAAAGACTTGAAAATATGAGAAATGATAGAAATAACTAGTATTTTAAAATGAACGTAATGATTGTGATTTTTTTGTATTGCTTTAATAGCATTAAAAACAGAATTATGCTTGTGTGTATCAGTAGTTTCTTTATACTTTAAATGTAAGAAAATTCTGCAGGTTTCTGGGTATGGAACTTTAAATAGCGTATCAGAATTTAGAATATATCCTTTTTTTCCCTCTTTACTGTGCAAAGATAGTTATAGGCATAGCAGTGTCCTTGACTTCGAGGAGCATGCAGACTTATGGATAAAGCAAAGAATTTTAAGATTCCACAAAACTTCAGTGTCCATAGAAACATAGAGAATAAAACTTTGTTTTTTAAAGCCATATCTAAAATCAAGGAGTGTCAACTTAAGAGAAAGAATGTAGATGACCTGAGAAGACCCTTGTTTTCATGAATTGTAGAACTAACTCAGTAAAATCACGGAACCTAGGCCTGTTTGAAGAAATAGTTCTGGATTTCCATTTAGCTCAGATTGGTGTTAACAAAGTCACAAAGCAAATTTGATAGTAACTTGATAGTTTTATATTTGTCAAGTATTAGTTCTTTGAAAACGCATTATGGGCTCAAGAAATATAAGATGCCAAAGTAATCAAATAAAATCTGAAGTCTCAGTTCACTGGATATCCTATTTTTTTTTTTCTTTTGCCTTCACCTGTGTCAAAACTGATCTGGTGAGAGAATAATATTTGAAGTCAATCTTCATATGTTAGGACTCCAAAGCATCTGTGAAAATTAAAGTTTTATTCCATTGTGCAGATGTTTGGTTTTCACAGTGGACATCTTCAGAATATTTGAGAATCACTAATTGGTTGATATCCAACTCTTTAAAAATAGTTCGCAAAATTATAGTTTTATAATTTATATGGGTCATTTCCTCTAAAGGCAAGAATGTATTATGAAGAGATCTATCAGCTCTACTGGGCAGGATGGAGATTTGGTCTGACTTTCCTCACAATTGATTACATCTGCTGTGTAGCAGCATGCAACTGCAGTCATTGATTGCAAAATAATTTACTGGTTTGATTCCATCAATTTCCTTTCTGTTTCAGACTTCATAAAGCATAAGGACACATTTTCAAGTCAAGGGTTATATTTTAGATGATGCAATCAAGTTGCAGTAAACTTATTTTATCTTTATGAAGAAATCTTTGACTTTGAAATCATTATTACTAAGACTGCCTAGAAAAGCATGCCATTTCTGCTTTTAATGGTATTTATTTTTTGCCCTTTAAAAATTTGTCACTTCACATAACATTTATTTCCTGTTGCTTGCACACATTCACATAAAATACTTCTCCTTTTGCTTATTGTTTATAGGCAAATAATATTTAAAGCCCAATAATCTATGTAGTATTGATGGTATAATTTTCTCTTCCCAGAAAAGTCAAAGAAAGCCCATAAACTTAATAATAAAGTCATCATTTGACTTCATATGACAATTACTTTATTCTATTTAGATAGAAGAGCAATCTTGATAGGGAGTGTTCAGTTAGTTCTTCTTGGAAAGACAAAAAAAAAGGAATTAAATGTTCTGGCATCAAAGACTTACGAAGTTCAACATTTACAAGATTGCAACTGTGACTAAGAAAATCCCTTCTAAGAGGTTTTTATGGGAATGTGTTTGCTACACAGAAAACATCCATTTGATCTGTGCACAAGAAGGGAAACATAACAACGAGGTTTTGAGTAGTTTTGCCTGTTATCCTGAGAAGGGAAACATGTCCAAATACAAAGTTTTCTAAGAGGTTGTAGTAACTATTTAAAACTATTTTGTTAATTTATTAATGTTTTATGTGAATGGCCCTTACTGTAATAACCCACCCAACTTATCAAGAGCCTTCTACTGTTATACCAAAATCAGCACCTCGATGCTTTCAGTAGACACAGAAGAGATGAACGTCCTCCCAAAGTAATTTACTCCATTCTCTGTTACTGTTGTTTCTGCTCTTCGGTCTCCGTTTAATCCATCTGATGCATGTAGCTTGTGCACTAGCCACCCACTCCCAGCCTTAAATGAGGCTTCTGAAGTAACCTTCAAGGAACCTTCAGGGCCCAGGGGAACATTGTTGAAAAATCACTAAAACAAGGATTGCTAAATCCTTTCAACTTCGAAAGTTCTATGAGTCTACATAACTCAAACAAACTACCTCCCTGATTTTTTCACTTTTCAACAAACTGGACCATATTTTATAGACATTGTTACCATTTTCTCCAATATGTAGGTATCTGGCATCTGTTGACTACCTGAATTTAAAAGTTTCCACCTGTATGTCTTGGTGCTGTAAAAATATAATCCATATGCCTGAATCAGGCCTTCTGGATGTTCTGAACAATTGCTCAGTTGATGGTCACATAATGATGTAGCCTCAGAGTACAAATCCAAAGCAGTCAGGGCTGAAGAAAGTATAAATGGCTAATGGCATATGGTTCCATCTTCAGATGGAACTTTTGTTTTGATTGTGATGTGTAGCCTAAACATCGTAGGACAGAAGGATTTCAGAATTCTTACACTTGGGAACCCAGTTGTTTCTCAGAGATCTATTTTCAGCATTGAATAGGAAAAGCACCCAAGTGTTGGACTATGTGCTTTGGGAGCAAATTTTTTGTTTTTCTGTAGTGATCAAGATAAACACGTGTTGCAGTTGTTTTGATCATTTAACATGCCATCATTTCTAGACCACAGGTCAGTTCCACTGATCGCTCCCCTGTCTTCCTGAGTCATGCTAAGCACAGTCAATTCAATACCCTGTCAGATACATTTAGAGGGAATCTCCAAATGAAAGTAAAGGAGAAATCAAGACCCAGCTTCCTGGCCTGCCCAGAGGTACATGTGACTTACCACGTGATCACAGCATCACCTGCTACTTGTTCATTTTGAATTAGTGAAGCTGTTATCTACAGAATCCTGATAAAAATACCCTCATAGATTAATGTAGTTTCTTCAGTCAAATGGGCCCTCACACACACTTTTGTATTTTTTCTTAGTATAATTTTTGTTTTAAAGTCCTGTTGTCAAGATCCCTGACATTAATCATATTTTTTAAATGTGTCTTCTTTATTTTTGATAAGATAATTTATTCACTAAGAACTTTGACTAGTGAATATTTTGTCTTTGGAGCTGCTTTTCATGTATGAACTAAATAATAAAATTATAAGTGTAGGCTGTTCATTTTAAAAAAATAATGTGAGGTAGAGAAGAATTAACTTGTTACTTCTGAGTCACTCAGCTAGGTTTTCCCTATGCCACTGAGATTTGAATGAAAATGATGCTTTTCATAAATATAAAAATTAGTGAAATCTTAGCTTTACTGATTAGGACATTCTATTATATAAAGACTGACAACTTTAAAAATAATCTCTCAGCAGCTTCATAAAAATCCAGAAAAATGGTTTCACAGATATTTGTGGCACTCAGCATTTTTTAAGGCAGTTCTCTCCTTCCTTGTAAAAAAGAAAAGCGTGAATGGCAAATAAGTTTAAACTCCAGTGTGTTAGGTTTTTTTCTTTAGTCTTCTTTGTAACATAAAGGAAAATTACCCAAATGTTAATTTTCAGAAAATTTCACCAAATAAAGAAGTCCCGACACATGGCAGCTGTGTGCTCAGACCAGCAGGCATTCATGGTTGCCCACACGCTAGCCTCCACCTCCTTTTCCCACCACTGCCTTTTCCAACTTACACGTCGGGTAAACTGTGTACTTTGCCATGCCTGCACAGTGCTCTGTGGTGGAATAGCTCTGGGCCTCTGTTTATTATGTCTTTTGGTTCCCTGTCACAACTCTACCTGGCATTCAAGACCCAGCTGAAATGCCTTCTTCCGTAAGACTTCCTATTCCCCCTGCCTTCCTCTTCTGTGTGTTTTATACCTTTCCTGTGAAACCACACTCTGCTTTCTAAAGCAAGGGAACGATCAGATCGATATTCCAAAAACTAAACTACTGACAACTGTGAAGAGGATAGAGAGAGAAATAGGGAAATTTGTCAGAGGACAAATGCAATATCATGCATTAAGACAGTGGGAAGGGTGAGTGAGGAGAAAGGAAATTGAGAAAAGTACCAGAGCATGACCAATGAATACAAGTGTCTGAGGGAAAGAGAGGTTGTCAGAAATTGTTCAGGGTGTCTAGTTGGGTGATAGGATGAATTAACCAAGAAAGGGAAACAGAATGAGGAGACAGTAGAGAGGGGAAAATCAAAAGTTCATTTTTAAAGTTGCATTTGAGGGTTTTACAGGATATCTAGCATCCATGTATAAAGGAATATAGAAACAAGAGAAAACTCAGAGTCCAAATCTCAGCAGTCATTAGCACATTTGGCGAGTCAGAGAGAAGATTGAACTAGGAACAACAGAAGGGAAGGAAGAGGGGCCATCAAAAAAGGTCTGGAAAACAGGCAGAAAGATAGGAGAACCAGAAAAGCAGAAACCACTATGAGAACAAATTTAAAGTAAGAGAGTGGAGAAGGTCAACAGTAGCAAATGCTGGGAGAATGCTGGAGAGCTCAACAGAAACGAGAACTGCGAAGAGGCCCCTAGATCTGGCTGTCAGAAAAAACATAAGGGACTTTTAAGAGCAAAGTTTTGGAAATTTAAATGAGGTGTAGGCAAGATTGCAGTAGGTTGGGATGTAAATAGTGACAAACACAGGCAGAGAAGGAAGACTCCTCTTCCAGTAACTTCAGTGGTGGAGGAAAGGTGGCCCAAGGAGGAGGTTATAACTAGGGTCAGAATCTTCAACCTCTGCTTTGGTGGAAGGGAAGGAGCTGGTGAAGAGAGAATAATCCATGTATATGTAGGTTCTCCCCTACTAGACACGGCCTTTCATCCTGTGTTCCCCAGTCCAGTCTGTCTAGCAGTGTCTTGCATCAAACTGGTGTTCAGTGAATGAATTAAATGATACCAGGCAAGACTTCGGGGAACCGGAGATTGGGTCATGTGAGGCAGAGGTGTTTTGCCCATCTCTACTTTGGAAAGAAACCTAGACAAATGTTTAAATGTCCTCTGCAAATAGTTTGAAAACGTTACCCCTGAATAATACTGGTGCTAAGGCTGCTTCTTGTTTAACGTAGAGGAGCTAGAAAATGATAGTTATTAGATTCCCAAATCCTGCAAAACCTCAAAAGG